AGTTATTGAGTGTTTCCACTTATCGTGATCACACTGTATAATGTTTAGAGAATTATTAATTATTATACGTGATAATTTAATTACAACAAGATTAAATCAAATTGTACTTTAAGTAGTGCTCGTAAGTATAAATGTAAAATTATCTGAACAGAAATGGATTTTTTTTTAATTTACAAAATTTTAGTAGTCTATTTTTAAAACAATAACTTTTTAAACATAAGTTGTACTACTTTTATGGAATTAGGTTCATACTTTTTATCAATCTTAAAATGTTAAAAAAAATTAAGGGCCCGTATTACAATAGTTGAACTCCGGTTAAATCACAGAATTCGGCCGGTAAAATCAGTAGTTAAAGCATAACCAAGGGTTTAAACTATGATTGTAAAACAAGTCCTTAGAGAACTTAACTCATTTGTACRCAATATGGTGTATGTGTATAATTTATTCTAACAAAATTCAAATTTAAAAATGTAGCGAATGAACTATTAGATAAATATCTTTGACTCAACTCTTCTCTGTGCTTCCCTAGTATGATATCGACTACATCCTAATCAACAAAATCAGTTCTCCAGTTTCAGATCTGCATAGCTAATGAATATAACTAGATGAAATTTACCATAATTTTAAAGATTAAAAAGAAAATTAATTAATAAATTCCACATTTTGTATCTGTTTGACAAGCCCTTTTCAATGAGTGATTCATAGACTTTTTAACTTCTACTTTTTTWAAATTAATTTTCTCTTTCTGCAATGCTATGAATTATAATATCAATAATAAATTATTTGGCTATATATTATAATATTATACTGTGCCACATATTATTTATTTTTCTATACATAAATATATATACACCCACCATACACGCATAAATATGTAACATAATATGATATGTGTGATGTGCACATAATGTCTCATTAAGTAAACTGTGGGATTTTTTAACATGCTCATCCTCATTTTCCCCTTTAATAGTACTTTTGTACAAAATTCTAATTTTTAAATATACCTAATATCCGTATTTTCAAATTCCTGATATTTCTTTTGCTACTTAATGTGTGTCCTGTGGCGATACAAAATACTATTTTCAAATAAGAACCCCCTTTTAAACTGTTAATTATTTAATAGATGATTTTTT